GGGGGGGGGGGGGGGAGCGTGTGAGACACAAATTAAGGAGGATTTGACTCAGCCAGGGAGATTAAAATAATTTTTTAATTTTTTTTATGATCTTTGTGCATTACATAGCATACTAGGTATAAGAGCTACAAAGAACAGAAATACTTAATTAGCTTTCCTAAGAGATATGTCATGCAAATTACAGGAGACCTTTAACAATACATATTAATTATACCACTGACTTACTAGCAGCAAAGAACAATAGACTTTCAGCCAGGCTATATGTGCTCCTGTCATGTATTCACAGTGGTATAATTATGTGCTGTTCTGGATTGCTGCATATGAATGTGACTTGCACTTTAAAGTATATTTTTAGTTTCAATATACTTAAACTGGTGCAGAGAATTTTTCACAAAGGAATCAGACTAAGATATAAATAAAAGGCTTGGTGCAAATTTTAAAGGAAATCCATCGTGACTGAAATATGAAACAGCCATAGCTGACACTTTTTGAAGGTTGATGCTTCTGATCCTCGCATCACTGTCTAGTAAATTATTAACCTGGAACAGGCACATGCAAATCCAGTCTAGATACCTATTAGGAATGTGCTGGTTCCAAGTCAGCAAATGACCAAGAAGTAAAACGAACACAAGAATAGGTTAAGTGTTAGAGTACTACATTCTACAGACCGATGTGCTGAGCAACAGCAGAAAACCAGGTGGGGTACCAAATTAAGGGCCAGAAGCATGATCAGATAGCCTAGGGGTCAGGGGCGTAACTAGAAATCACAGGGCCCCATATCAAAATTTTGTATGGGGCCCTGTGATTTCTAGTTGTACCCCTTGCAGAGCCCAATTGAGATCCCACACAGCCCACCTGAGGGTGACCCTGCAGAGCCCACCATAGACACTCTATGGTGGGCTCTGCAGGGTCACCTTCAGGTGGGCTGGTCGCACTCCTTACCTGTCCGCCTACTCTTCCTCCACGCTCGCTGATGGGCCCCGCCTCCATCGCCGGGCCTGTCTCCTTCTCCATCACCGGGCCCCGCCTTCTCCCCTGCTGTCGACCATGGGCCCAGCCTCCTCCTCCACTGCAGGGTCCGGCCTCCTCCACCGCCGCTGATGGCTCAGCAGCGGCTGTGGAGATGAACGCACTGCTGCACAGATTACTGTCAGTGATCTGAACAGCAGCGCATTCTTCTTCAGAGCTTCCAGTGAAATCCACCAGCAGAGGATGCCATAGCGACCCAGGCGGTCCGCTCGGCATCTGGCCGTGCCCCACTGTGCCCTGGGCCCCATAGCGGCCGCCGGGGTCACTATGGCGATTGTTACGCCACTGCTAGCGGTTGAGACAGCCAGCAGACAGAAAGGTGATTAGAAAAGCTAAGGGTTGAGGCAGACAACAGTAAGAAGGGTGCTGAGTCAAGCTAAGGGTTTACCAGGTAGCAGACAGAAGGGTGATGAGACAAGCTAAGGGTAGAGGCAGGCAGCAGACAGTAGGGTGATTGGACAGTCTAAGGGTAGAGGCAGGCAGCAGACAGTAGGGTGATCGGACAGTCTAAGGGTAGAGGCAGGCAGCAGACAAAAGGTGATTGGATAGGCTCGGGGTCAAGGCAGGCAGTAAGAGAAGAGTTTGTCAAAAGGGTGATCAGGCAGTAGCTGACAAAATGGTGATTGGACAGTTTAGGGGAAGAGGCAGGCAGCAGACAGAAGGGTGATCAGACAATCTAAGGGTAGAGGCAGGCAGCAGACAGAAGGGTGATTGGACAGTCTAAGGGTAGAGGCAGGCAGCAGACAGAAAGGTGATTGGACAATCTAAGGGTAGAGGCAGGCAGCAGACAGAAGGGTGATTGGACAGTCTAAGGGTTGAGGCAGGCAGCAGACAGAAGGGTGATTGGACAGTCTAAGGGTAGAGGCAGGCAGCAGACAGAAGTGTGATCGGACAGTATAAGGGTAGAGGCAGGCAGCAGACAGTACGGTGATAGGACAGTCTAAGGGTAGAGGCAAGCAGCAGACAGAAGGTGATTGAGTAGGCTAGGGGTCAAGGCAGGCAGCAAGAGAAGAGTTGTCCAAAGTCAAGGCGAATGTCAGAATTAAAAAAAATACTATTGCAGTCACAACACACACAATCCCATAATGCTTAACTCCAGGTATCATCTCTCCACCTCCAGGTCAAACGTCTATAAAATCTGTCCTTACCTACCAAAATATTCCAATTAGATGCATGCACTGTGCCCTCCACTCAATTGTTTATTTCAAAGAAGTTCACAGCATGAGTCTGAGCTCTACCTTTTGATGCATTTCAATCTATTTGGCTTAGTTGTAGAGTTGTGAATAGACTCAGCCCAATACTCTAATATTTACGACTAAGCCCAATAAGGAGTGGGAGGAGTTCAGAGAGGTGATGAAATCTGCTTTCACATAGCGGTAGTCAGGCTGACACAGACAAACTGAAGTTGTTGATCAAGCACTAGGTGGAAGTTCCAAGTTTCCTATACAGTATAGGGTAGCTAATGAGGATCAGGTGTGCAATGTGGACTTTCTGCAGCATGTAGTAGCGACCACCAGATAGTGAAAGCTCGAGACTGGTTATCACACTGTGTCTTCTTTCGAGAGATTTTCCCCTCATTTCCCTTTTTGCTGACAGGGTGTCACAGTGGCAGGTAGTGTTAGGAAATCTCTCCAATGTGGACAGAAACAGTAACAAAACAGTATTTGTTTTCTGGAATTGGGAAGATTTAGAACCTATTTTAGGTTTTTAATGTTCTTTTTGTCTTTCCGTTCTGCTGACACCCATTCTCCTCCTTTCTTCTCCAGGCGTCACAAGAAAAGAAAGGTGTCTAATGTCTACTGGGGTCAAATACAGCAATAAAAGCCTGACAGCAGTATTTACTTTTACCCTCTGCATCTAAAACAAAAGGTTGCATTTCATATGTTTTTGACAACAGAAAAGAAATACCTTCATAAGCCAGGTTGTCCTGCTGCTATTAAACAGGATGGACGAGGTTGCGATTGCAGTGAGGCTGGCAGTGTGGGTTCCACCAATGCTCATAGAATTGTTCCTCTGATCTCTGCTCCAGACGCTGGAGATACAGCATATACTCCTATAAAACACAGAACAGGCATGGTGTCATGCTTTTATCTAAACCGTACTTTAATACTTTTGTTTCTATTGCTCTGCATAAAGTCAGATGGGGAAAGTATGGCATATGGGTCAGACATCAATGAGATGCCACGGTTGGCCTTGTTACAGTGCTACATCAAGAACACAAACCTTTCGGACATCACAGTTAGGGTTGCCACCTGTCCAGGATTCACCTGGACAGGCCGGGTTTTGAATGCTGTGTTCGGGTTTCATGGCAGCAGAAACCCGGACACAAGATGTCAGGCAGACAGAGGCAACCAAAATTAAGATAAGGGCTACTGCCCCCCACTGAAAATAGTCTCTACTGTGATATTTACAAATGAATGGGCGGCACTGTTTACATTTGAACAAGCCGCGACTCATTCTCCCACAAAAATGACCGTGCGCTGCTGGAGTGTTGCGCTTGAAGAAAAGGTGGCAACCCTAATCACAGTTCCAGTCAAAGTGCTGCAAATGAGGTGACTGCCAACAAGAGTTGAAAAGGTCAGTCATCCCAAAAGTCATTAGATGAAGAAACCTTGTGGTCTGAGTCAGCCCCTGGCTTTTTCAATGTCTTGGATACTCCAACAGTGAAATCTTAAAGGGTTATTCACAAAGCTGCTGAAGGCAGCCGAGTGAATAACCGAGCCGAAGTGAACAGAGCCGAACGCTGTTCGACTATTAACTTTAGCTAAGTACGGCTGATTTCAGCCGTACATCGGCTGAAATTAGCCGTACATCGGCTTGCTTCGGCTGGCTCCGGAGCCGAAGTGCAGAAGGAGTTCGAATCAGCCGATCCAACATTGGCTGAGCCGAAGCGCGGGCAGCTCCCTCGCTGCTGTTCGCTCCTATTCACATAGGGGTCGAACGGCAATGAGTGAATAGCCGAATGCCGCTTGGCTATTCTGCTCGGTACCTCCGTGGTACTGAGCAGAATGGGAAATCAATGAAAAAAGTTGTCGAAAAAAAAAATCGTTGAAAATTTTTTTTTTTTAAATGTAAATAAATATTACATTTAAAAAAAATAAAGATTATTCAAAAAATAATAAAACTGCTAGCTCCGCCCAACTGTTTCCTATTGGCAGGGACGCTATGGGTGTCACTTCGGCTCAGTCGAGCCGAAGCATATGCCTTGGGCTCGGCTGAGCTGCTCGGCTGCCTTGGGGAGCTGTATGGGCTTTAGAGAATAGCCCATACAGCAGTCGAACCGAAGGGCTCCGGCGGCCGAAGCTAGCCGAAGGATCTGCCGGAGCTACGGCGGATCCTTCAGCTAGCTTTGTGAATAACCCTCTTAGAGTTCTTGGTGTTTCTGTCCATGTTTGTGTGTTCCAACTTCATCTGTTACATGCCTCGTAATATAAAATACATAATACATCCAGCAGTCAGAATGGGAGCCACTCACAATGGCCATAAGTGGTGTACACACCCAGGAACTAGCCAAATGAGTATCTGAGAAATTTAAGAAACCGTTGTTTAACTTCCTAGCGTCTACCAAACACTGTAAGATCAGATTTAGGTGGACTGACCCTTTAAATGAAAAATCTCAAATACATATTTGTTGCATAGCTAACATCATAGCTTTCAGGTGGACACTTTTAATCAGGTTGAATTGAAAAGGAACCATTGAGCAGGTTGAAAAATTTTTCACAAAGTTGATGTGTATCTCACTATTTTACTCATCAGTTAGATTGGCACCTCAGGTAAGCAACACACAGGCACCCTGCCATCCACATGATGTAAAAGAAAATGTGGTTCATCAGACCAGGCCACCTTCTTCCAGTGCTCTGTGATCCAGTTCTGATGCTCACATTCCTATTGTAGGCACTTTTGACAGTGGAAACAGGTCAGAATTGGCACCCTGACCTGTCTGCGGCTAAGCAGTCCCATACGCAACAAACTGCGATGCACTGTTGCACTGTGTGTTCAGGCACCTCTCTAATGGAAATAGCAATAACTTTTTCAGCAATTTGAGCTACAGTAGTTCTTCTATTGCATCATACTACACGGGCCAGCTTTTGCTCCCCACTTGCATCAATGAGCCTTGGCCACCCATGACCCTGTCGCCGGTTCATTGGTTTTCCTTCCTTGGCCCACTTTTGGTAGGTCCTGACCACTTCAGACTGGAAACATCCCACAAGAGCTAAAGTTTTGGAGCTGTTCTGACCCAGGCGTCTAGCCGTCACAATTTGGTCCTTCTCAAAGTCGCTCAAATGCTTACACTTGGCCATTTTTTTCTGCTTCCAACCCAACAACTTCAGGGACCAAATGTTCACTTATTGCCTAATATATTCCACCCACTTCCAGATGCCATTGCAATGAGATAATCAATGTTATTCACTTCACCTCTCAGAGGTCATATACAGTATACATTATATATATACACAGGTATGTATATACACACACACACACACACACACGCACAAGGTGTTTTCAGATAGGTCAGATCTGTCTCATTGACTTGCATAGAAAGAGAACAAGTAAAACACAGCCATTGAAACGCAGCACGCATATATAAAAAGCTAATATGGTATGCTCATATTGTCAAACTAAAAACAGAAAGAAGGATATTAAAACATGAATCCATATGTTAAGTTGATCATATGTACATATCTAAAAAAAAACAAAAAAAAACCTGTAAAGAGAATATAGTTCCCCTTTAAAAGGATGCTGGTGCTGTGGTTATACCTCCACAGAGTCTACTAGCTTTGCGGCTCTGGACACCGGCCTTGAATGAATCATCCTTGATGATGTTAAGCAAAAAAAAGAAAAAACCTCCTACAACTTCCTCAGGAAAACTTGCCATTTGCAGCCTGACTCATAGATTTAAAATCTCACAGCTTCTAATTACCATTTAAAATCCTACTCATCAGCCATCGCAGATCTTATTTCTTGCTAGGGTTGCCATTTCGAGGCTCATTTTGCTGACGCATCTTGCGATGACAAGTTAAGGAAGACCAATAAGCGTGGTGGGCAATGCAGTCACAGCTCAGGGTGACAAGTGTTACGCAGATCCAAACGTCACATTGTATCAGGCTGCACGCAGTACTGATCTCACCTACATCATCTCATTAATGAAAGGAGTATAATGCAATGACATGCTCCCATGCTGCCACCGCCACATGACGTGTAGTTGACAAGGTCCTTGCAATGCACGTCTTTAAATCCATGAAAGTGAAATGTCATCCCGTACATAAGTATCAATCAGCACCTACACCCCCCCTTACCGCGCCACGTCTTGAATATTGCTGAAAAAGTTTTGTTACACATTATATTGCTTGAAGCTTCTGGTGGTTATATTAGAAACATTGCAAACAGTATGACAGAAATAACTCTAACAGGCTTTTTTCCCTGTTGCCAGACTTTTCATTTTATCAACAGTCTTCCCATAAGATTATATGTGTATTTAAAGCAGACCCATGCATCCTTTTACTAAAAATCACATCAGTATGCTGATATGAAATCATCTTACTCATTAGTTAAACAGTTTTTTGCTTTACAGTACTTGCAATGACTGTTTTTCAACTTCCTGGCTGAGTGAGGCACTGGTGATGTAGCCCTGGTCTGGTTGAGTGAGGCACTGGTGATGTAGCCCTTTTCTGGTTGAGTGAGCCACGGGTGATGTAGCCCTGGTCTGGTTGAGTGAGACACTATGATGTAGCTCTGGTCTGGTTGAGTGATGCACTGGTGATGTAGCCCTGGTCTGGTTGAGTGAGGCACTGGTGATGTAGCACTGGTCTGGTTGAGTGATGCACTGGTGATGTAGCCCTGGTCTGGTTGAGTGAGGCACTGTTGATGTAGTCCTGGTCTGGTTGAGTGAGGCACTGGTGATGTAGCCCTGGCCCTCACACAATCAACCGAGTAAGGTTACATCACCAGTACCTTCCTGGGAAATCTCACCTGTAAACTGTAAAATTTTGCAAGATCCCAGGGGAAAACCATTTTATTCCCCCTGAGATGATATGCACTGTCACATGTTCCAGGAAGCAGACCCAGAGGTCCAGGAAGTAATGGGAAATGGAGAAAAAAAAAGGTATACAAGGATAAAACATCTGCAATTCTCTATAAGTATCTGTTTGTACGCTGCCATTACTAAACATTTCTAAGGGTGCCTTTGTTGTTATTTTTAGAATAAGGGTGAAGTTCCTTTTTTAACATACCGCATTTCATGCATGTTTTTTACCTATAAAAGTGATGGGGTGGCAACAATGCTGCATTGCTCCTGAGTTCAGAGCAGAGTTGTAACTCTCATGTAGGTTGTGCTGCTTGGACTAAAGTGGGATGTTGCAGGAGGTGTGGCTATCAGCATTGTCACTGCTGATTCACAAGCCTGCATCTTGTCAATCAGCACCTGGCCACACCTAGTCCTGCCCACTGCTTTCTGAATTGGTGGCCCTGCCTCTGTTCCTGAATCCCTCCCACTGTGAGCTGCAGTGTCTGGGAGGAAGAACATGAGACACAAATGAAGGCAGATTTGATTCAGTTCAGGATTAAGGTAAAGGAAGTGTTTTTTTTCACTTTCTGAGGCTTGTGCATCACATAGTAACTGGATTTGGTACTTGTTTAGACTGTCATACAAAAGCCTTTAGTTGTACTTTTAAGTTGATCTCTTTTAAGTGTGTAAAAAGAAAACGAAAACTACATTTTTTTCTATAACAATTCCATATTACTAAAATAAAATCAATGTTGAAGTAGCGAACAAAAGAATTGCTCTCTGTAGCCATTGTGTTACTAAGCAAAAATAAATTGCACTCAAAGTTCTGTGCACAGTCTCATGTCCCGAAACTAGCAAGCTTGTCTCTGGTTGCAACTTGCAAATGACAGGATCGCTTAGGGCTCATGCACATGGGCGTATTTAAATATCCCGATCTACGCTCAATCTTTCTGCTATAGGTCAAAAGTGGGTGTTTAGGTTTATAATTACGCATACGGCGTTTAGAGGCATATGCATGTAAACTCTCTTGGCAAGAATATTGATTTATA